GTTGGGAAAACAGCTTTGAGAAAACCACCTCTTCTAAATGAATGATTACTGACTTGACAAAGCATTCATAATATTGACAGGCAGTTAGGAAAATTAAATCAATGCAATCAAGGTAGTGATTGTTTTTCTCAAGAAATGTTTGTGTAAGAAAAAGAGGACAAACATTAGTACTTTTTGGAATGTTAAGACCAATATTCTGCGGTGAAAAGTGACCTATAGAAATGTGGTTGTTCCATATTTCAGGACTGTACCTTAGGGAAAGCTCTGAGCTGGGTGTTGCTAGACCTTCTCTTGAAGCCAGCTTTGCAAAGAAAACCAAAAGACTTTTGAATTCAAATTTGCCAGTTTTATTGGAATGAAAACTAGAAAGGTAACTTCTTACAAAATAAAATCTTCAGTGATTTGTGAAGGTTAGCTGTGTCAGAGTTTTATGCACCAGTGCCCTCTTTGTGCAGCTAAGTCCTTGATGCAGTATTTGCTTATATTCAGTGTGATTTGGTGAGTGGCAGCAAAGCAGGAACAGTTTGGTGTTTGGGAGATTTTTTTGTCACAAGGAGATTTTAGTTAAGTAGAGAAAGAATTGTGCTGGGTTTACTTAGTAACTGGTAGATACAAAAATTGAAGAAGAGTTGAGGAATTATTTTGCTGTAATTAGTCAAAAGGGAAGGTTGAAATTTTGCAACTAAATTGAAAGAGGAAACAATCTCAGAGGTGGAGTGAATGCAGAGTTCTCAGATGTTGGGACATTATAAGGAAGTTCTTCAAATTAATGGGAATCAAAATGTTACTTTTAGTCTCTCTTCCCCATTTTGGACTTATTTTGGTTTTAGTATGTGTTTTTATTTTTTGTGTTTAATGTGGTGTTTGCTTTTACTATCATACAAGATGATGATGCTAATTCTCTATGCAAATGTCACCTTCAAGCTAGTGAATACCAGTAATGTATATAGTGGAAGCAATAGTTATTCTGAGAGCATTTTTATTTTAATGATTCATAAATGTTCTGATAGTGCATATGTGGGTGAAGGGTAGCATGTGTGAGCATACTCTAGTTCTGCTTAATACCTCATACGTAATGTGCATATTTTGTCATGTTTTATTCTGATTTTGGGCCCTGTATTGCTCTGTGTCTGCAGTCCCTTGGCTTTTGCTCACAGTTGCCATGCTGCTTTGAGCCAGCTCAGTCTTTCACTGTATCTTCACTTCACTTCCCAGCCTTGTATCCTTTGTTGCAAAACTACAGGCAGGAGTGGATCAGGGAACTGATCCAGGTCCTCCCCCTTCCTGGTTGTTCACTTACCAGGGAGAGGAGAGCCAGAGCTCACTTCCTTGGATGCAGTTTCTCTGGTGCATAGTTGGTTTCCTACAATTCAAAATGAGTTCCTTGTAAATTACTTTAATTAAAACATGAATGTAGTATAAACGTTAATATGTTTTTATTGATGTTAGAGACTTGCAATAAAAGTGTGCTATTGCATTTTTATGTCTTTACTTGATAAAAGAATGCAGAAGGCAGAGACTTGATGAGAAGGGATGGGCTGGTTGGATTAGGATTATTTTGGGAAAAGGCTATTATGAGAGAAACAGAATTGCTTTAGCCATTTTAGACTTAGTATTTCAGCCCTTGCAGTAAAAAGTGCTGGTCCATGTGTAAAAAAAAAATTATAGCACTTCCTGTCAGTTTTTTCTGATAACTCTATAAAAACTTGACTTTAAAGCTCTGATTCTGTCTTGATAATCAGCATTCAGATGTACTAGTGCATGCTTTCGCTAAGCCGATTTCCTTTGAATACTCACTCTATTTCAGAAGCTCTGTACAGTTTTAAATGGCTAAAGAGAAAACTGACAAGCGTGAAAATTAAATTGTAGCAAAGACCTGAAAATGAGGAGAGTTCTCACAGTCATCCAGACAGAAATTTATCTTGCTTTAAATTTTGGTTTTAATAAATGTATACTCCTCTGTGCATTTGACATAAATCACACACGCCACTTAATAGAGTCACTTTGATTTTATTTTATAGGTTATTAAAGTATTATGTGTATTTACACAGATTTATTAGAGCAGTTGCTCAATTTTCTGTTCTTTCATGTGAAAGTGGATACGATGGTAATATTGCAGGTTATTAAATTTTGGGACCAAAATGTTTGGCTGTGTGTTAGCATGGGAGTAAAATTCATTGAAAGCTGTGAGTATCTGCTGAGAAGAAAAGGGTTTGCTGTTTTTCATCAGCCAACTGTGAACATCTCTAGGGAACTGTGTTTCATTCCAAGTTGCTGCATTAAGAAGTTCAGGAGTTCTGCTGTGGGGTCTGTAGGTATGTGCCCCAAATACCAGCAAAAGAATCCCCACCCCAAAATCTCAAACCAGCTAATGCCATGGTCTGTGTGGGAAAGCTGGGAACATGGGATACTGATTTTATTAATTTGCACCACCCTTTTCTTGCGTTAGGACACAATAATTTTTCAAGTATATTTACTCTCATGTACTCTCCCTGTTTCCAAGTACAAAAAACCCCTGGCATTAGGTGTTACCCTGATCCCAAGGCATCCCAAATTCCCAGGAACATTAAGAAAAATCATTGAGTGAAACAGCTTAGGGTTGTATTCCCTAGTGTGAGTGGCAACTTGCTTAATAAAGAAAAGCAGATACGACCAGAACAATTGGTTTGTGGGGTTTTATTCTGTGGGGCTTTGAGGTTTTTTTGTTGTTTGTTTGTAGGTTTTTTGGTTGGCTGTGGTTTGGTTTTTCTTAGCTTCCCCTATGGTTCATAAGGCCTGTTGACGTAGTCAGACTGGCATGAATTTCATGGAGGGTTTTAGAGTGGTTTCTCTTAAGAAGAATGTAATTATATTTTTTGTTTTGTTCCCACACCTCCAGATACTTAACTGGAGAAAGAAAAAGAAAACAAACTTTTATGACTTATTTTAATGCTTTAGTAATTTAAAAATTTTTATTTAATACGAACCATGCTTAAAATGAGTGTAATCTTGAGTCATATATATGAGTCTGGTTTTAACTTGTGCTGAATTGTATCCTAATGGATTCCCACTTGATTTCAGCCTGTTTTTCTTTAATGTCCTTGTTACATGTCCTTTTATATGTAAAAGTCATGTAGAACAGTGCAACCAAAACCCAATTATGTTAACAACATAGATTGTATTGATGTCTTTTAAATATTTTCAAGGTCTGTGGTGGATTACAGGTGTAATAAAGAATAAAGAGTGTAAATTTTAAAAATAAAGCTTTTGAAAAGTAACCAATTGCACTTTTTAAATTTTTTTTTCCTCTCTTTCTTTCAGCCTGTATATAAGGCTGTCTTTGGAAGCAATTTTTCATCATTTAACTGTTGCCTGCTTGTTAATAACAGTGAACTCTGAAGTCCATTCTTCTCTCTATTATTTGAAGGCTGGTAGTCAAGAGAGCAGTCACAGAACTCCGCTTCCCCAGGCCATTTATGTCCTGCAGGGCTGTAACCTTAGAAAGGTGGTGTGTAGAAATGGTCTTTTTTGTTGTGGGTGAAGGCTAATGAGTTTCTCTGTCTCCTTGGCTCATCTTAGGTTTCAGCTCTGCCTCCTCTGAGGTGTTTGAATGTGTGAGAGAGAGCTGGCCAGCAGAATGGCTTTAGGGTGCCTGCTTTGGGGATCTCCAGTATTCTAGAGGTGTTTGTGGATGATTCTTCTTCCATGTAGATTCCCTGCTGAATCCTGTCACCACTTCAGTGCTGTAAAGAGAAACAGGTTGAACAAACCGTTGCATCTTTATTTGTACTGCAATCCATGTTTATTTTTTTTAGTGTTTAAGCACTGGTTTTAATTAAATTGAAGCACTCTGTTTAAGCAAAATAGATTCATGTCTTAAGTCTTAAAACTACCATACAATTACTAACACCTCCCAGCATTTGCCAAGTATTCCTTACTATGACTTATTCTTGTGTCAGCAATAAGAAGTTTCATCTTAGATTGGCCTTTTAGAAGTCCAGGTTTTAAGAAATAAACATAAATTCTATTAAAGCTTTTTTAAAGAGAGATCAGGAAGGTCACCCAATGGATTTGATGCTGAGGCAGGCATTGGTGCCTTAAATAAAATCAGGTAGCTCAAAGAAAGTGAAGTGCTGCCTGGACTGAGGACAGACCTTTAGAGTAAAAATGTGGATTTAATTTCTGCAACTTTCTGCTGTTGCTATCCTCTTGTGTACATTGACATTGGATAAATTAAGCTGTCTCTGTATTATTTTGATGCATTTGTAAAGTAACCAACAACTAAGAAGCTGACATTCCTTTTATTATTGTATTAAGTTTTTTTCATTTGCTGAGATTAAGAAAACAGAGTAAAAGTAATGAGTTCTGCTTACTTTATTGGTCAAGCACATACTATTTTTTGTGAAAATGTTCCTATTGATGCATTTTATGTGTTCATAGTACAGCAAAAAAATCCTCACTGTATTTCAGTGAAATTGATTTTGCTATGGGAAGTGTCAACGTGGGGGTAATGATTGATACTCAAAACTTGTTTGTGGAATTTTGGTCTTGCTGTGTATTCATATATATATGTGTTCATGTATATTCATACAGGCTTATAAATGACGCAGTGTTTTTAGAAATACAAATTAATCAAGCTTGATGTGTTTGACAGTTCTTTCATCCTTCTTCGGAGTTTAAGTTAACGATGGTAAATACCAGCCTCCAGTCAAAGTAGTTGTTTAGTGTAAAATTAAGTCTTGAATGCTGGTGTGTTTCCATTCTCTACTTCAGCCTGGACTTTCTTGGTGAACTTTATTTTCCTAATAGCAGTTGATGATTAAATTTCTTCTGCAATACTTTCAAGATCTCAAACACACAATAGCAATACAGTTCCTGTAAATGCTTAATTTGTTAATCTGAGCTCTGTTTAACAAGAATTGTATGAATACTGCTTTCCTTTGAAATTGATCTTCAAAAAGAAGTCCTGTTTTGTATAATAAGATGCCAGACTCACAAAGATTTCCTTTCTTGTTTCATAGACGTTCCATCTTCAGAGCAGCCTGAACTGTTCCTAAAGAAACTTCAACAGTGCTGTGTCATTTTTGACTTCATGGACACGCTTTCAGACCTTAAAATGAAAGAATACAAGCGCTCCACTCTTAATGAACTGGTGGACTACATTACAATAAGCAGAGGCTGTTTGACAGAGCAGACTTACCCTGAAGTAGTTAGAATGGTGAGTTCTTTCTTTCTCATGGTCTCTTTTTAAATCCACTTGCAATTTCAGTTATACACTGTGGACGAAATTGAACCCTGGAGTAGGTGGATTAAATGATGCCTTTGGCTTGTATTTGCTAATAGACATTACTCGGGGATAATTCTCCAAAGACAAAAATATTAATTTTTATATATTTTTAATTAAAGTCAAGTAGATTATGGTTATTACAGTGTCACATAGGTATGAAAGGAAACATGGATTGTTTCCTAATGAAGAAAGCCAGTAACCACAAAATCAGAGACCCTCATATTTCCTCCAATCTACCTTCCCTCTCCTCCCCAGTAAATAATGGAATAATATTTGCAAGTTTCTTATCTTTCTTTGAACTTTCTTCAAGCTCTTGGGTGTCTGCTTTAGGCAGAGATAGCTTGAATTATGCATGGATAATAATTTTAAAATAATAACTGCTAAAAACGTTGTATAGGATTGTTGTTAGAATGTCCTGGTACGATTATATGGATTCATTGCAGGTGCTGTTAGAGTGAGCAAGATTAATCAACAACAAAACCATACCTTATATATATAAATTGTTAAATAATAGTGTTTTCAGTGTAAAAATGGAAATGGTATTAGATCCTGCATGGTGAAGAATGATCATTGCAACTGGCAAAATCAATCACTGCTTTAAAATGTTTGTTCTGTGCTACTGTACAGAACCCTAATAACCTGTTAAATGAGGAAGCAATTAATTAAATACAGATTTGGTTATGTTGGTTTCCTAATGGTACTCTGTGATTGTAGCATCCTCTGGCTATGTGTTTTAAGAAGAAAAACATGAATAGTTTTTGCATTGCATTGGGTATGCTTCTCACTCCTTTTCTGACACACAGATACATGCTGTGTTGCTTTGCTTGTTTGTAATACTTAAAAATAGCTGTAAATTGTGACAGAAACATCAAGTAGTTAATCATGAAGGGAAAAAAAGAAACATAATTAAGGGCGTATGAAAAAATCTTAATACGGCTTCTTCATGTGTTTGAATTGTCAGAAAGCCTATGATTATGAGATCAGATTCTTCACCTTCTCCCTCACCCTCTCTGTCCCCCTTCTGCACTGGACCAGTCTTGTGAATGAACTGCATGCTGTGTTATTTCTTCAGTATGTGAACTCACACACTATTCAAATACCAGGCAGAATACAGAATGACTTTTTTTTTTTGCTCAGTTCTTCTGCTGGTGCTGCACTGTAGTATCTAAATGGTTTGCAAATGTTGGTTTAATCTAATGTGTACCCCTTGCGACGAACAAAGTATATCACAACCTTTGCATAGAAAGGATGTTGATGCACAGATAACTTTAATAAAATGGGTGACTTTTTCTGTGTGTAGCAGATGCCTCCAAACTCACCTCCTCAGAGGATTTGATAATTTTTTTAGCATTTGTGTTACTGCGGTTGTATTCTTGCGTTGACTTTGGTTATAGTTTACTGCAGCAACATCTCTTGAACAAAAACTCGCCAAGTTAGTGTTGCCTTAGCTTGGGCCCCAAGAAACAAGAAGAATTTGATTTGTAATTGTTTATAAAGTTTGATATGAATCATAAATAATAATCTATGAAACGATATTACCTTGAACTGTGGAAGACTTGTAAGACCCGTTTGGTATCATGTCCTACTTGTCCCTGTAGTCACTTGCATTGATTCACACAACAGTTTTTAACTTAAGGAAATGATCTATTTCCTAGAGAGTTTGAAATGTGTGGTTTTGAATTATTTTCTTAAATACAGTCTGTATCTACGGTATGGAGGAGTTTCTGGAAGTAAGGATACGGCCTGAATATTTCCAGTGGATTTCATAGATATTTACTAATGGTGCTTATGAAATTCCAGTTTCACTTTAGATCCTTTTTGATAGAAATCTGTTCCTTTCATTGCATCACGCCCTTTCTTCATCCTGCTTTCTTCTACTTTGCATTTGTGGTGCTGAACCAGGCTTTGCTTAATAAGCGAAGAGACTTTTTTTGTTTTTAGGTTTTATAAGGTATGAGTATGTTAACAATCTCTGTTAGTGACCCAAAAGGTGTTTGGCTCTAGACATACTAGGTTATGAAAAGGTTGCCAAGTAGAATTCTTCAGGAGAGCTGAGATTTTTAATTGCTTTTAATATATAAGGATTTGAAAAAGTCATATGTGGTAGGCAGATAACTTGTGGATGTTTTTCGTGCCGACCATCGAAATTTATGCCATTAAAAGCTTTATCCATGCTTGCAATATCACATGTTTTCATCTTCTTCTCTTGAGCATGTGATATGATGTTGTATATAGCTAAATGTGAAACCACTTGGCTGTTTGTCAACCTGTGTGCAAATCTGCTTCCTTAAACTGCTCTCTTTAGCTTGAAACAGTGTCTGGTATGTTATTTGTTATTCAAAAAAATGAAATAAACCAGAATCTCCTAATGACCACCAGAGCAAGTTGCAGAGGCCTTATCCATGTCATCAATATCAGTTGATGGGGAGAGCAATTGGGATTTGTGTTAATGGCCATGAGCTGAGCAGATTTATTCAGGAGGGCATTGCTCAGCATGCTTCCCCTGCAGTTTGATGTGTTGTTCAGAAGGGCAGATGACATTCTTTAGAATTAGGCAAGTCTTAGGAAAAATGGCTTTGCCAATTAAGCCACACTCTGCTAAGAAGGAAATGCCAGTAATAAGCCTTTATGAGCCAATAATTGGGCACTTAATCTAAAATTTATTCCTGTCTGAGCAAAATGTGGAGGCCTAAACTAATGATGCTGATTTTTACTGGTAGATTAAGTAGTGGTAGTTGACCAAAATAAATGTTTGTTATTATCTGTGGTATCCTGAAGGGTGTATGTGCTAGAGCTGTTTGTGTTTTATGGATGTTAAGACATAGATTGAGGAAACTGATCTATTTAATTTAAAAAATGGACAAAAAAATTGCCAGGCTGTTAAACTGAGGAGTCTGGATGAATCTCTGTTGGTGAGCAACCTTTCAGCTCTCCTACTTGCTTCTTTAGAAATTGTATACCCGGGCCCTGAGGTTTACGCAACATCACTGTGTGTTTGCCAGCCTACAGGAGATGGCTAATGAAACTCTCTTCAGATACATCTTTCAGAATGGAATAGTGATACTTTGTTCTCTTTTCTAAGTGCTGAAATGCCTCTGGCTTCCCATTGTCATCTTTATCTTTTCTATAATGGCAAATTGAGTAAAATAAGACTGTAATTTCTCTACAGCCAAAGTGAAACATCATAGGAGATGTCATGTGGTGTAGAAGCTGTGTTAAGCAACACAGGGAAAGACACTTGCTTAAATCAATACCCAGAAAAAACATAAAAAAATGCATTTTAAAGGTCAGATTCTCGTTTGGGTTTGTTCC